TTGACTTGTTCATTTCAAATCTGTATGCCCATAACACAGTAGAGGAACCTAACTTAAGGTTACTGAATATGATTATGTACCTTTATTTATTTTATTAAGACTATCATATGTTAAACGGTAATTTATGATTGACAAGGTCGGTTATAGTCATAGAAATACGTGGCAGTGCTAATTCAGTATGCGGTTCATCTATGCTCAGTAGCACTAGGTCTCTCACAGCTGCTCACTGCTGGTTCGATGGAGTTAGACAAGCATTATCTTTCACAATGGCCTTTGGCAACAAGTCACTGTTTTACTGGAGGTGTTAGAGTGCCGCCACCAGCAAACCGCTACCGGATGCATTGAAAATTGGGATCCAAGACGTAATTTTAACTCAACGACATTAGCCCGTAAATTACCCACAACTGGCTGGGATCATACCAGTAAGTAGTATGGTTCTTTTTTTCGTTTTTGCTTTAAACTCATTTAAAGTACATTTTTCTCAATCTTTATTATCGGATGCGACGATCTTTATAAATGATTTAATATATATTCTATCAAGTTGGATTTTTCGTTAAAAATCTCGAACGTTCTTTCAGATGCTATTCAGGCAATCACTTTACCATCTGGATCTCTTCTTAACAATAATTTCGTTGGGACCTCGGCACAGGTTTCCGGTTACGGAAGAACCGGTGACGGTATGTTTTTTAAAAATTTCAATGTTACTTTTATCAATGAACTTGTTTTTGAAGAACTAACGATTAACAGTCGAAAATATTCAATTTACATTGCATTAATGGTTTTCAGGTTCTCAACACAACATCCGACCAGATCAAGCGAAGAGAGTGGCAACCGTCCGAGTTATTACCAACAATGAATGTAGAAATGTTTTTGGATCTATGGTCCGGGACACTATTATCTGTACAAGCGGAGCTGAAGGTCGTAATATCTGCGGCAGCGACTCTGGCGGACCTTTATCCATTGTCAACAATAATCGGAGAGTGTTGGTAGGTTACTCGCAGTAAATTTTGCAAATCAGAAACAAAAACATCGCGAGCATAAAATAAACGATTGATGTATCTTGTATTGTAGACCGAACTATAGCTCAATACTACTTAGATGATTAATAAATCGCAAGCAAAACAACGAAATAAAGTATCTCTTCATGATAAGAGAATTCTCTTCACGTGGACAGTACTTAACGGCAGGCGGTGGCTTGGCTCTGCTCCTGGTATTGTTGACGTTTTTGGGCGCGGTCTCGTTGGCGTCGGCGGGGTCTCCTTCCAGCCATGCTGCCCTACCATGATACGGTTGGGATCCCTCTGGCAGAAAGTCTCAAGAAATCGGAGGAAGCCCGAGACTTTGATGGATCTAGAATTGTGCAATGGAAATCTTGCTCGTTTGTGCTCACCCGTACATGGTAAATATTTCCTACCATTTATTTTTTTATTTGCCCTAAGATTAATCGATAGCATAAACGTGTCTTATTGAATGTCGTCGGTGGCGCTAAAGGATAAGATGTCCGCGTGCATTGATATCTAGCGATGTCCTAGCCCACTATCTTCTCAGTGGGTCGCGTTTCCGATCCGGTGCGTAGATTCTCGCGAACAGCACTGCTTCGTCTGCCTATGGTCTCAGTGTTTAGCAAACACTTACGCGTCTGAGCCCCGTTGAGCTCACCTACATGTTAGGGCGAAGGCTGATAACCTCGCCCGGGCCACCTCCCGCGGACTCGAAACACCGAGCTGGACCCACTTGAAGGAAGATAGCTAGGTAGACACTCGCTCTAATATCAATGCACCGCGACCATCTTATCCTTTAGGCCCACGACGACTTCCAAAAATAACACGTTATCATGCTATCGAATTAATCTTAGGGCAAATAAAAAAAATTGGTTAGGAAATATATTAACCCATGGTACGGGTGAGCCACCCAACACGAGCAAGATCTCCATTCACAGATCTAGGATCCATCAAAGTCCTCGGCTTCCTCCGATTTCTTAGAGGACTTTTCTGCCAGAGGGACCCAACCGTATCTAATGTAGGGGCAGCGCATGGGCTGGAGAAGGAGACCCGCCGACGCCAACGAGACCGCGCCCAAAAACGTCAACAATACCAGGAGCAGAGCCAAGCCACCGCCTGCCGTTAAGTACTGTCCACGTGAAGAGAATTCTCTTATCATGAAGAGATACTTTATTTCGTTGTTTTGCTTGCGATTTATTAATCATCTAAGTAGTATTGAGCTATAGTTCGGTCTACAATACAAGATACATCAATCGTTTATTTTATGCTCGCGATGTTTTTGTTTCTGATTTGCAAAATTTACTGCGAGTAACCTACCAACACTCTCCGATTATTGTTGACAATGGATAAAGGTCCGCCAGAGTCGCTGCCGCAGATATTACGACCTTCAGCTCCGCTTGTACAGATAATAGTGTCCCGGACCATAGATCCAAAAACATTTCTACATTCATTGTTGGTAATAACTCGGACGGTTGCCACTCTCTTCGCTTGATCTGGTCGGATGTTGTGTTGAGAACCTGAAAACCATTAATGCAATGTAAATTGAATATTTTCGACTGTTAATCGTTAGTTCTTCAAAAACAAGTTCATTGATAAAAGTAACATTGAAATTTTTAAAAAACATACCGTCACCGGTTCTTCCGTAACCGGAAACCTGTGCCGAGGTCCCAACGAAATTATTGTTAAGAAGAGATCCAGATGGTAAAGTGATTGCCTGAATAGCATCTGAAAGAACGTTCGAGATTTTTAACGAAAAATCCAACTTGATAGAATATATATTAAAAATCATTACTAAAAGATCGTCATCCGATAATAAAGATTGAGAAAAATGTACTTTAAATGAGTTAAACAAAAACGAAAAAAAAGAACATACTACTTACTGGTATATCCCACCCGATTGTGGGTAATTACGGCTATGTCGTTGATTAAATTTCTTGGATCCCAATTTTCATGCATCCGTACGTTTGTGGTGCGCACTCTAACACCTCCAGTAAAAACAGTGATTGTTCCAAAGGCCATTGTGAAAGATAATGCTTGTCTAACTCCATCGAACCAGCAGTGAGCAGCTGTGAGAGACCTAGTGTTACTGAGCATAGATGAACCGCATACTGAATTAGCACTGCCCCGTATTTCTATGACTAAACCGACCTGTCAATCATAAATTACCGTTTAACATATGTAGTCTTAATAAAATAAATAAAGGTACATAATCATATTCAGTAACCTTAAGTTAGGTTCCTCTACTGTGTTATGGGCATACAGATTTGAAATGAACAAGTCAACAACACCCCCAACACACAAATATCCCTATCAAAAGTACTTAGAAAATGAAATGAAATGAATCAGGAAATTAACTGGTATCGCGTGCCACAGAATTAGCATCACCTACCATCACAAACCGCGTGGTCCCTAAACGCGGAAACCATACAGAAGGTTCGGCTTCTGGCCCCAAAAAAAGTTGCTAGCATCACTAATCACTAGGAATTAAGGCAATCAAATATCGGAGGTTGATTAAATCATTTGAAACTTTAAATAATACAATACATACAAAGATACCTTTGATATAATCAAATGATTACATATTAATGATTTTTTTGGTGCAGGGGCTCTAACAGTTTTATTATATAACAAAAGTTTTTGGAGCAATTCATCAAAAGATACTGCTATGACCACCTCGAATATCCAATATTGTAAGATTGTGGTTGGCAGCGACTTGGCTGTACCCCTGGCCTTGCTGACGTCCATGAACGTTTGATGGATGTGCTCATATGCCCGCTAAGGCAAGAAAAAAAACCGCTCGGTTGGGTATAAATATCCTATCCATTTATGCGCCAAAGCCTTTGCGGTAGGACAGCCGCATTACAATTGATATCAACCTCATGTGACCCGACAGCAAACTTGTCAGCATATCTACTGCAATCAAATATACACTATAGATTGTGGAGAAACGGGAAAATCATTTTATGAAAATGCAACGACAACGCAACTAAATGCAATTACAAATCTAAATATGTTATAGAACACTCCGTAACACTGCTTGTAAGTAAATTTTTTTGAAGTGAAACTTCTTTATGCGCCTGCGGGTAAAATTTTACAGAACGTCACGCAGGTATGCAACGGAAGTGACGTCAAACTACTATTGAAATTAAGTACTTGTCAAATGTCAGTAGTAGTAGTTGTTGTATTTTTCCAACTTTTTTTTTTTTTTATTGCTTAGATGGGTGGACGAGCTCACAGCCCACCTGGTGTTGAGTGGTTACTGGAGCCCATAGACATCTACAATGTAAATGCGCCACCCACCTTGAGATATAAGTTGTAAGGTCTCAGTATAGTTACAACGGCTACCCCACCCTTCAGACCGAAACGCATTACTGCTTCACGGCAGAAATAGGCGGGGTGGTGGTACCTACCCGTCCGGACTCACAAGAGGTCCTACCACCAGTAACTGGAAAGGCAAATGTATCATACCATACAGCCTAATATTTTATATTTTTTTTGTGAAAAATGTTAATAGGAATTGAAATGAAATGAAAAGAATTTGGAACATTAATCAAATAGCATGAAATCAAATTAGTCAATTCAATTGGCAAAATATTAGTTATTTACAATTTAGAAATCTAAACATAATGTGACTGTCAACACTGGGGTTTGAGAATGACATTTGACAGACTTTTGGCGGGAACATATCTTTCTTTTTCCCTTCCCCTAAGTCTGGGAAATCTAAAGTTTTAGATTTGTTTAAATATAAGCAAGACTCATAAATTAGTTCGCTAAAAAAGTTTCACTTCTGACATGTGCACTTTGTACGCACGCACTTATTTTTCTACCTATGCTGATAGCCTTGAGAGGCTGTTTCAGCTTCGCCCTAACATGTAGGTGAGCTCACGGGGCTCAAACCGTAGTGTTGCTAACACTGGCCATAGCAAGAGCAGTGCTTCGCAGAATCTACCACCGGATCGGAAACGCGACCCACTGAGAAGATAGTAGGTAGGACATCGCTAGATATCAATGCACCGGACATCTTATCCTTTAGGCCACGACGACTTCAAAATAAACGTTTATGCTATCGATTAATCTTAGGGCAAATAAAAAAATTGGTAGGAAATATTTACCATGTACGGGTGAGCACCCAAACGAGCAAGATTTCCATTCACAATTCTAGATCCATCAAAGTCTCGGGCTTCCTCCGATTTCTTGAGACTTTCTGCCAGAGGGATCCCAACCGTATCATGGTAGGGCAGCATGGCTGGAAGGAGACCCGCCGACGCCAACGAGACCGCGCCCAAAAAACCAATTTAATGAAATAATTTTTTAAGTCAATGCAAGTACTGTCAAATTCATAAAATCATTTTGCATGTGCAATTAGCATCTTCTTGTATACGTTATTTTTTCTGCGTTTTCTTATTTCTTTCTTATTTAGGAAACTAATAGTACAGTAAGTAACAAGTAACGGCGGTAGGCAGCGGCTTGGCTCTGCCCCTGCCATTGCTGACGACCATGAGCGACGGTAACCACTTACCATCAGGCGGGCCGTATGCTCGTCTGCCTGCTACGGAGGTTTATACGGAACCATTTAACTTTAACTTCTGCCCCGTATCTTATCAATCAATCACGGATCAAGATTTAAATTATTATACGCATATAAACGAATACGATAATTAGCATGCGATAAGATATTATTTGATATAAAACAATCAAGTGCACGTCGACTTGTCATCTTTAAGGATTGTCACTATGAAGGTGTTGCTATTGATT